GGTTGCTAACTGCTCTCGGCCAGCTGAGAACTAACCAAAGGGTCGCCCACAAGCTTGTATTTGGTTTTGATCCTTCGGTGCCTTCCTTGGGGGCCTTGGAGAATATTTCGGACAAACAGCTGCCAGACCGCTTCCCAAAGAAGAAGGAGGCTATGGCCGAAGCTGCGATTCGAGCCCGTAAACGCGATGACGCTTTGGTTATCTTCGAAGAGATTTGGCTGGGACGGCGGGCCGAGGCCGCCGAGCGGTTCAAAGGCAAAGTGGCGTTGGTGGATGCTCTCAACCCGGTGAAGGCTGGTGACACGGTGATTCTCTTCGATGGACGTCCTACTTCGAAGTTGGGCCCTAAGGCGTCCGGCCCGTATGTCGTTATTCGTTGTTTCGGTAATGGTAATGCTACGAAATCAGTTCAGATGGTAGCCGTGAGAAGTCCGCTATCATCCATGGTTCGAGACTACGTAAATATGAAGCTTATAGTGTTTAATGGTTTTATTGCTATATCTGTATTGTAGCAATAAAAAGGGGGCGAGATGTTGTGAATGATCGAGAGTGCAAGATTTCTTACTCCGCGCTGTCGATTGCATGATCGATCTCTCTCGTCTGACGATTAGCACGCACATTTTTTTTGCTTCAAGGGGTTCTTGATATCATCTTTGTATGAGTGACGCTCAGTCACCGATCGACGACCGATCTGAGTTGGCTAGTGTGGGAGGGGAGACAGACGTCGACGTTGACATTGAAGAGTCGGAAGATTTACATCATCAGTCCGTCTCTCCACTAACCCTTCGAGAAGCGCTATCGTGGCTTGCCAGCATTTATGACCCACTTGGTACCGTCGCTGAAACCGTGCTCCGTGGCAAACTTGTACTTCGCTATGCTCATCGATGTGGCATCACATTTGATCAACTCTTACCAGGCCCTTTGTATCGTGAATTCTACAAAGTCTACCAAGCTCTCAAGTGCCCGAAGCCTGTCCCTCGAATGGTTGACCATCAAGTTCTACACGTCTTCGTTGATAGCTCAAGCTACGCTCATGGGTGTACTGTTCTCGACAATAACATGAACAGGGTGTATGCTAAAGCCATGCTACATGAGCTACCACATCTCCCATGGACCATCGTGCGCAAGGAGCTGTTATCCCTTAGATATGGTCTCAGCCTCGTTAAGCATCAACTACTTCCTAATCTCTCCAAACAGGAAGCCACTCGAGAGTTGTATGTCTATACGGACAATTCTGCCAACTTCCAACGTGTCAGGAAGGCTCTACGAGATGGCAATCCTTCATCGGAATTACCAGCATGGGAAAAGACGTGTATTGCCTCTATCATTGAGTTGGCCAACGACTTGCACTGTATTCTGCGGTTTATACCGGGACCTCTGAACCCAGCCGACTGTTTATCGAGGGGTTCAAGTGATGCAGTGGACTATCAGTGTTTAAGGACGACTATCACGGCGATCAATGAAGGAAGTGTTGATCCCCTCCAGATTCCACTGGCTCTTACGACTATTGGGAATGCATCTCCTCTCTTGTCCCATCTCAAGAACCAATGCTCTGCTACAGAAATCGCCGATGTCTTACAAAGGATACGGCGAGCTCAAGAGGGTGACGACGAGGTAACCCACATCAAGTTGGCCATCAAGCGCAATGACGATCGTTACAAGGACATGTATCATGTTATCAACGACCATCACGGCGATGTATTGGTTAAGAAACATCCAGTTATCGCCGACCATGTCCAAGTCTTTGTACCTCAAAGTTGCAGGAGAAGCCTTGTCGATCGCATCCACACCGTCTATGGTCACATTGGTACATCGAAGTTGCCAGGGTTGCTGAGCAGAGACTTTTACTGGCCTGGATTATCGGGAGATGCTCGACGTTATGCAAAAAACTGTGCCACCTGCGTGAAGTTCAAGGGCTCTTGCGTGTTGCGGGCCGGAGGATTGGGTACAGTCCCCTCTAAGAGTCCTATACCGATGGAGATGATCGGAGTGGACCTTATAGGTCCCTTTGTTTCTCCTTCTCTGGCCGATGACCCACCTCACAAGGTTGAGTACGCGCTGGTCTTGGTCGATTCGGCGTCGAAGTTTGTAATCGCAAGACCATTGTTCTGCCATGATGCTGATTCTACTCTGGAGACGCTGGTGGACTGCTTCTTCTCCGTTGGATTCCCATCTTTAATAATAAGTGATCGCGATGGTAGATTCCTATCGAAAGTTGGATTAGCAGCTCAGAAACTTTTCCAATGGAATTGGAAATTCTTACCTGCTCATTCGTCTCCGCTGAATTCTTGGCAAGAAATACCCCATCGTTTGTTGAACAACATCATGCGCACTATCATCGAAGATTCGGGGTTACAGCTCCGTGATTGGTATCGCCTGCTTCCATGTGCAGTGTGGGCTTATAACAATGTTCCGAGTGACGTGAATTGTCCCGTTGCCCCTGCTGATCTCTTTTTCCATCACGGTGCTACTGCTCCTACTTCGCTACA